TTCTCATTTAGCTAGTTTTTTACATACTTGTGCCAGATGTTGAATACTCCAAAAGACCTAACAAGGTCTGGCAACAATTGTTACCAGTGCTGAAGGACATCAGACAACTTGTCAGTTCTTTTACAGAGGGACATCTTCAACACACACACTGAGACGCTATTTTTTCCTCAGTTTCTCTCTCACACACACATACATGCCCCTTCCCTTTCTTCTGCTCTAACTTGAACTGGTTCCTTTGAGCCTGGGAAGAGCTGTGGTCTTGAGACTACCCATCGCCATTTGTGTGTGTGTGTGTGTTGGATTCACAATGTTTTAGGTACCACGTCTTCCAAATTCTTGATTCAATCCCTCATTTTGCTCATATATCCTCTTGGGTTATTTCCTAAGAAAGAGAGCCTGGGAACTACATTTTTTGGAGTCATTACTTGTCTATAATTTTTTATTCTCCTCTCATACTTGATAATTAACTCACATGGGGGGGGGAATCTAGGTTGAATCATTTTCTATTTGAAATCTGAATACACTTTCCATTGTCTTTTATTTTTTAGAGTTATTGTTGGAAAATTCTATGTAGGTCTGATATTTCTTCCAGAACAGATTTAAGATTATTTTCCTTGTCCCTGGTTCTAACATTTTTCTTTCTTCCTTCATTGTCTTTTTAAAATTTGCTATAGGGTATATACAGCATTCTCTGGAGAGAAACAGAGAGAGGGAGCGAATGTGAGAGAGAAAGACACAGAGAAAGCAACCCCCAGGGGGCATGACCATGTTGCAATCTCTTCTCTTCCATTCTTCTCTTGGGGTTTTGGACACACATGCACACATTGCCTGCCTTATTTTTCAAGTTACTGGGTCTGAGACTCAAAGCATGCAGTAGGCCGTGGGAAATCCAGGTGCCTTAATCATACCATTGGCTAGCCTTAACATTTTTCTATGATGTGCCTGCAAAAGAATATTTATTTATTGTGTCTAGCACTTGTTGCTCTCCCCCGTTTTTCAGTAAGAAGAACATGAGTTTAAATACTAAGAATTTTCCTTATCATTCCTTTGATAATATAATATTTTCTGTTTTCAGAACTCCCATTCATTTGATGTTGGACTTCCTGAGTTTCTGTTTTAATTTTCCTAACTTGGTATTTTCCTTCTTTTTGTCTTTTTCTTCTTTCTAAGAGATTTACTTGATTTTATCTTCCACTCTTTCCACTGGATTTTTAAAATTAGCTTAATCACTGCTTCATTCCTAGAGTTGATTCTTGCTCTTCGATTAGTTCTAGAGTAAGGTGCTAGACACCAGATTGGAAGCTCTGTGCCTGTTTGTAGGGTGGGTAGAAGAGGTTCTTGGCTGATGTTCTTTGTCTTAGTAGGAACTTCTCAAATATCACTATGTAGAGCTATTCTTTAGATGGTGGGCTTATTAGAGAAGAACCCTATATTCTCCTGGATTGGGAGAAGTTTGAGGAAGTGGAATCTGCTTACAGTGTTTCAGAATAGGACACAGGAAGAAGTTGAGGGCTGCTTTCATATAATCCCAGCCTCTTCAGCCCATGACTCCCATCTGCTCTCTAGTATGTCTGGTGTCAGTAAGTTTGAAGGCCTCAAATATACTGCTATGATAAACAGATCATCTGTCTCTTGAGTTTATGTGTTTGAAGGGAGGAGGTGACATTGGAGAAAAGCGAAGGGAGTGGTTATGCAGGGAAAACAGCACTGGGGGTTCCAAGTATTCTCTGTGAAGTCTATATCCATTTCCCCCACTTTCTAGTTCATGCCTAATCCCCGACCTTCCACATTATCGGATCTGTCAAAATGTTGATCTTTACTTAGAGTTGCTATTAGATACCCCTCTTCCCCTCTTTACTCCAGACATTTATATTTTAATCCCTTCTCCACTAAGTCAGTTAAAATTTCTGTATTCTTTCTTTTAAAATGTTGTTAAATTTTTTTTTTTATTTTGAGACAGATTTTCACTATAGGGCGCGTGCACTCGCCAGACAGACAGAGAGAGACATAGAGACATAGAGACAAAAGGCGAGATATCACCCCCCCCCAGGGGAAGTGGTCACGCCGCAATCCCTTCTCCTCCATTCTCCTCTCGGGATCTTGGGCACGCACGCACACGCGCCCGGCGTGAGTTCTAAGCCACCGGGTCCGGGACGCAAACCGCGGTGGTCTACGTGGGAATCCAGAGACATAGCCATTACGCTAACTGCTGGTTCCCATAATCTTTTTTGAGCTTTTTCTCTTTGTTCTTATTGGTCAATACCTTTTGAAAATTTAAATACAATGTGTGTGTGTGTGTGTGTGTGTGTGTGTGTGTGTATTAAAGATAATATCAAATAGTTTTTCAAAATAGTTTTTCTACCTTGGTTTTTCTTATAGTTCTTATAGTGGGTTTGGAAACAGAACAGGGATGAGTTAGAATGTAAAATTTCTATGCTTAATGAGATGTTTCAATCTACAAATTTTACAGAGGAGTGATGATGAAACTTAATAATTCTGACTAACCTAAAGTCACTCATAGGAGACAATATTATAAAGAAAAGAAGTCAAGAAGTTGAACTTGTCTAATGTCCAAATAAGAACTCATTACAATCCAGCTAGGGGTTATATAATGCCAAATATAATTCAGTCTTTGTTCATTCAGATGTTATTTTGGGCTTTCATCATGACCATGAATGTTTACTGCACTGTACATAGATTTTTTTTTTCTTTTTAGATTCTCATGGATCTGGTTTATGTTTTAGAAATTGATTTTTCTTTAAGTGTCCTCTAATAGCAGCATGGTTTCTTGACATTCATTTTAGCAATAAAGGATGGGTAGCTCCTGCCTCCCTCTGGTCACCTGTTAATAGAGTCTTGGAAATCTGTTTAATAGAGTCTTTGAGGATCAGAAAATGGCATGATGGTTAAGGTGGTAGATACCATGTGGTCAACTTCGTTGTTTGAGTCCCAGACCTGGCATCTTAAAAAACACGTTGAGTGCATGTATGAGTGCCCAGAATCTCAAGAAGAGAATGGAAGGGAAGGGACCATGGTGTGGTCATCCTCATGGGGGATGATTTCTCATATTCCCTCTCTCTCTGTCTCTCTGTCTCTCTGGTGGGTGTATGCACCCTATGGCAAAAACCTAAAAGTAAGTAAATAAAGTTTTTGAGATAATGTGATGCTGAAATGCTGATAAAATTAGCTTAGAAAACATAAAGATTATGACATTTTCTCCTTTTCCTTTAAGTAAAAAGTGTTTTTTTAAAAAGACATCTTCAAAACATGGTCTTTCAGTTCCTAGAATTAACCCTGCCCTCATCATCATTTGCGGTCTTCCTAATGAATTCTTCTTCTCAGTACTATCTCAACTCTAAGCACCTTCTATCTCCACGCCTGCCAGTTATGCCATATATACTCATAGAGCTACAACTTTTTCCTGCCAAGCATTCTTTTTTTTTCTTTTTTATTTTTTGGAGCGGTTTCCACCATAGGGCGCATGCGCTCGCCAGACAGACAGAGAGAGACAGAGAGACAGAAAGCGAGAAATCACACCCTCCCCAGGGGGGATGGCCACACCGCAATCCCTTCTCCTCCATTCTCCTCTTGGGATCTTGGGCATACACACACATGCGCCCGGTGTGAGTTTTAAGCCACCAGGTCTGGGACGCGAACCGCGGTCGACTAAGTGGGAGTCCAGCAACATAGCCATTACGCTAACTGCTGGTCCTGCCTGCCAAGCATTCTTTATCAGTTGTCTTTGTTCCATTATAGCATAATTTTTGATGAATGCAAATCTGGTCCATGAGACAGTCAGTTCCCTGGAGTTCAGGCTCCATGAGCTCATAATTTGCTCATACCTGGTATAGCATAGGGGACATAGTAGGGAACTTAACCATTTTTCGGACGAATAGACTGGAATGAATAAAACAATAACTGGGGGTGATTTTGAACCAATTTTCCCATATGCTATATTCCTAACTTCCTGAATTTAAATGATGTGTTCTCTAGAAAATTGTAGCTAAAACCTACTTACTGTTTTCTGAAATGACTTTGTGTGTCATCTTGGAAGAGTCTCTAGTCAATGTAGCTTACAAATGGAAATATGTTTTTCAAACTCCTGACTGAACCACAAATAGTAGCAGAATCACAAATCTGGACTAAGTTGTCAAAGCCTTTCATTTCTAGCTTTCATATCAGCAATTCCGATCCTCTTACCATTGTGTTTTGGTCTTGCCTAGCTAGACCTCTTGTTGAAAAACTAAGGATTGTCTCTTTTTTCCTTCCAAAGGAGAACTTGGCACCAGTTTTGTATATAGCAGAGGGGATTTATTGAGTTCCAGATCAATATTTGATAACTCTGAGAGAGTCAAGCTGATGTTGGTGCTTGGCTTCTGTTTTATCAGACAGACGAAGTCCCTTACTATGTACAATTGTAATCACTACATTCTTGAGTTGGATCCTTTCATCAATTACTTCCCTGGTAACAGCCCCTACTTTTCTATGATAAGAGCTTTACCTTATTACTTGCTTACACAATCAGGCCAGAATTTTACCTATGTTCTCCAATCCAGTGAAGTCTCTCTCTCACCACCAGTCTCTCATCAGGCCCATCACTAATCTCACTGTTTGTCTGGAGTCCCATGTCCTATTTCTGCAGGACACCTGTTGCTGCCTTCCACTTGTTTTCCATGGCATGGACCTCTTGCTGGAGTCCCTGAGTGCCGGCTGCCTCCTTCCACATTCCTGGCAAGTGAGGCTAGGTGTGTACCAGATACTGCTCTTGCCCAACCTATATGCTGTTTATACAAAACTTGTTCCTTTTCTGACAGAGGTTATCCATGTTGTATAGTCTGTGGAACTCTGGGCAGGCTTTCTGCCTCCTGACATCAATACCACTCATTACTTCACCATGTAGTTACCTCCTTGGAGTTTCCAAGAATATTAACTTAAAAAGTAAGTGCTTCTGGGAAGAAACACATCCATACCTTTAGCAGAAAATATGCATGCTGAGTAGATGCTGGAAGATAGTGGAGGGCATTGAAAAGGCACTCATGTATTCACAATATGGCTTAATCCACCTTCTCAGTATTAACTACTTCTCATGCGCCTTATACTGAGATCCAACAGGTCACTTGGGGTTCTCTCAAATATGAATTGGCATTTCACACCTTCATAAATTTTGGCTCTGTTTTTTCTGTTTCCTACAATAGTCTTTTTAAATTTTGTAACTGCTGTTTCCTCTTCAGGATGTATTTAAATATCATCTCTCTGAAATTCTTTTTCAAAATATTCCCTTTAAGGAAAAAAAATAGTTCCTCTTCTTCATATCATTTATATTAGCACATCCTAGGTCATCATACATCCTTTCTAGAATGTGAGCCCTTTGAGGAAAGAGACCCTGCTTTGGCTAGTTTATTTGATAGCATCAAAGAAACTCTTTGCTTATTTCATTTTTTCTAAATAAAACATATAAAATATGTTTGTATTGTGAAGTTTGCATTTAGAATGTTTTTTGGGCTGACATGATATTTGTATTTTGTACTAATATAAAGAACATAGTAATCTCCTGGATTAGATAAAAAAAATTTTAGAGTTAGTGATATCAGTATCTCTCCAACCTACCCTGCAGGCATCATAAATTCCTTCCAGATATCCAGCACAAAACATTCCAAATTTTATGTCATTGCCATACACCTGCGGTTGCTTGCACACTTCATTACTTATCATTTTCAGTCTGGCTTCTCGAAGATCATTTTGTGATTCACCTTAAGAGAAAAAAAAGTAATTTTAGTATTTAAAACCAGTCAGTGTCCTCAGCTGGAGTAAAGTGAGCAGTCTTCTAAAAATCTTTATCTACTAAAAATGTCAATAGAGAATGAGGTTAATATTAGCAGTTTTTAGAGAAAAGAATTTTGGGCTAAAACCTGGCACATTTAATGATAATTCATGTCCATTCACATTTTCATAAATACGTCTATAAGCAAGAAAACCATTTGGCTTATTTTTCTGGAAAATTTTTATACCTTTACTTTTAAAATAATCAGTTTTTGTATTTAAGGAAGACATTCCATTTGCTATGAAGTTTGTATATTTGTGGATTCCAGGATCCTTCCTAAAACTTTGCATGCCTCAATGGTTTTCCCTCTTGGCTTGATCAAATTATTATACTACTATCTATTTATTTTGTCCTTTTGCACACGTAACTAAGATCCCTAATAAATTTGACTTTAAGTTCTTCCAAAAGATTACCCAAGGTGGACCTGAGCTGATCAAGTGAGTCCTTGTAGGTCTTAGAGTTTTCCTGTTTCAAGACATTTTCCTAATGGTATTGAAGAAGCAAGCTGAGTTCCACAGCTGCAAGAAACAGAATCTGGAAGAGACTTGTAAGCTGCAGATGAGACCATGCAGTTTTGTGAAGCCCTGAGAAGAGGACCCACCTAAGTGATGTATGAATTTATGACTCACGGAAACCTTAATAAATAGGTATTGTTTAAGTTGTTAGGTTTGTGATCATTTGTTGCATAGTCATAGACAACTATAATAATACAGATACCAATTTCTTTAGGATACCAATTCAGGACTTATTTCTGGAGAAGCACTTGCAAACATGTTTTTAGAACTCCTCAGACAGTATGTGTAAAACTCAGAAATATATTAGGTGATATTTTTTGTGTAATTCTGTTTTTTAAAAAATATATATAATTGGTGTAATTTTTTGTAACATAATATCAATTAAGATAATTCGTGTCCAGTGCTAGGAAGGAAGGTAAAACTGACAATCTATAATGTAGATGACAAGGTAGATTCACCACTTTTTCAATGAACTAACTGGTAAAAATGTGTTACAAGTGATCAAAAGCATAACCCACAAATTCTGTACATCACTGAACTATATCTCAACTACTGTAAGACTGCTCAATGACATTTCTCACCAAGTGTTGATTTTATCAAAGAAACAACTTTCTTTTTTAAGTTTTTTTCCATAGGGAACATGCACTTGCCAGAGAGACAGTGAGAGAAAGTGAAACAAAATCACCCCTCCAGGAGGATGACCACACCACAATCCCTTCTCCATTCTGCTCCTGGGATTTCAGGCATGCACACACATGTGCCTGGGGTGTTTCAAACCACCAGGTCCAGAACTCGAACTGTGGTTTGCCATGTGGGAGCCCAGCACTTTAACCGTCATGTCACCTGCTGGTCCCTAAGAAACAACTTTTTGTTTTAGTAATTTCTCCACTGCTTTCTCACTTTAAACTTCGTTCATTGCTACTTTTTGTTATTTCCTTCTCTCTGTTTGTTTTAGTTTTAGTTTTCTCTTCTAGTTTCTTGAGGTGGAAACTTAGGTTATTGAGATCTTTCTTCTTTTTTACTGTATCTATTTGCTATACATTTCCTTTTTTACAGTATTTTAGCTATAGCCTGCATATTAGGTTTTGGATTTTTTTCATTCAGTTCTATGCATTTTTAATATTTTCTTAGACAGCTCTTTATATAGATACTTGCTATTTAATGTGTAAGCATTTGGATATTTTTGTTACTGCTTTCTCATTTGATTCCATTATAGTCAGGGAACTATATGATTTCACTCCTTTTAAATTTGTTAAGGTTTGTTTGATGGACCTGGATATGTTCTGTTTCGTTGGCTAGAGTATTCTATAATTTCAGATTCTGTTTCTACTTACAGAGTATTTGGCAAGTATGTTTCTGTGCCAATCTTAAACTCCTGGCACAAGATGATTCCACCAAGCTATAGGGGATTTACGATGGTTCTCCTATCATTATGCAGCAGAGACTAGAAACCTTATCTTAAGAGAAAACCCATCAGAGAGCACAGATATAGGGAGGTGTCAGTTGTGCAATTCTACTCTACTGGTGTTAATAAACTAGGGGCAATGTTTTCTGTGATTTATAATATGACCTTAAAGAAACAACTCAGGGAGCCAGCAGGTGGCATAGTGGTTAAGGCACTGGACTTCCACAAGGCTAACCATGGTTCGAGTTCCGGACCTGGTGGCTTGAAAATAATGCCAGGTTCATGTGCACATGTGCCCAAAATCCCAGGAGGAAAATGGAGGAGAGTGGATTGTGGCATGGCCATTCTCTCTGGCAGGTGATTTCTCACTTTTCCTCACTCTGTCTCTCTCCAGTGATCACAAATGCCCTATGGCAAAAACCTAGAAACAAAACAAAAAAAAACAAAGAAATTAAATCAGACCTCAACTTGTCTAAGGTGGAACCAAACGACATGAACAACTGGTTTGTGGAGAAAATAGAGAGACCATAAAGTCTATTCCTCACTAGTGGAAATTTATTTCTGACTCCTTGGCAGTGACTAAGAATTAACAGTTCATTCTTTTAGTTGTATGTAAATAAATTGTATAGTGTTCTGTGAATGAATTTTGTCATTTGCAGAAAGCCCCTTTCATCTTGTCAATGCAGAATTAAAGAAATCTGCTAGCTGTTGTGATAAGTATGTATGTGGACTATGTCTTAGAATACAGACCATGTCTGACCGAAAGTGCCTAAAACATTCAATAACGACATCATTATTATTTCTTAGGACACTAAGTTAAGATACGAAGTCGAATCATTTTATCATTTTTTTTAATTGCCAGAGGGCACATGTGCTAGCCAGAGAGGGACAGAGAGACAAGAGAGGGGGGAAAATCACCCCTAGTGGAGTGTGGTCCCACCACAATCTCTTCTCCATTTCTCTCTCTTGTCAGGGTTCTGGGCAGGCACCCACATGCAGGCCTCAGGTCTCACTAGCTGTCAGGTCTGTGATTTGAACTGTGTAGTCTACCCTGCAGTTTCCAGCACCTCAAGCACTAGGCTACAGGGCCAGTCCCAAGCTGAATCATTTTGGAGAGGGCGAAATGCTTTGACAATTTATCTCTACACTGTTCTTATATTTGATCACTCTTAACCTCTTCAGTTCTGAAGCAAATTTTGCTGGATAGACCTAAGAGTATTAAAATCAGCCAGTCAATTAATCAAGTGTTTCTGGACACAAGCTAGGATGAATGCGGATTCTTGACAAAGAAAGGAACATGATTTTTCCCTCTCTTTACTGGGTGAGGAAAAGGTAAACGTTGAGCTGCTACTGGTCACCTTTGCCACTAGGTGGCGCTAGAGTCCTTCTGAAACAAGCTGACCCAGGGAAAAGCAGGCACGGAAATAGAGATTCAGAGATTCACAAGATTCACAACCTAATGACATAAGAACTTCTGAACCTATCTGTGTCTGAACCCAGACTTGACTAAATCTCTTGACTTCCAAACTAGACTTTGTATTGTTTTTGTTTCTGCTTTGGGTAATTTATGTTGAGATTCTATCACCTGCAAAATAAGAGCCCTAACGAATCCAACCAAGCCTGTGGAAATGGCCAGCAGGATAACATTGATTAAATCACACTGCCCAAGGCCTGCTACCGTGACACAGCAGCAACACAGTGCCCTGTGCTACTGCAGCCACATGCGATGGTCCCTGATGTGTGTCCCCAGGCCTCCCTGTGCATGTGGAGGTGCTCGTGCAAGCCCATGGTCCTGCTGCTGAGGATGAGGGGAGTGAAGACATGTTGGGGATGACAGACTTTCTCCCTGCTGTTCATGGAAGAAATTTAAAAATCACTTAAAATTACATCACCCTAGATAGGGCTTAGGGCTCTATTAATTTTTTAAAGATACCTACCACCATAGAAAAGTGCTCCAAATCCTGTGATGTAGACAGTTGCATTCGATTGGAAGGATGCAGAAGCTTCTGGCAAACAAATTCGGCGTATGTCATCTGAAAAGGTGACTCTGGGAGAAAACTGCACGACAGCAATGTCGTACTCTCTTGCTGGGGAGTGATATTTCTCGTGGACAATGATTCTTTTGATATTTCTTTTCATTAAGGGAGGGTTGATTTTGTTCCCAAAACTAACAGTCCATTCACGTGGATTTGCACTTCTAGAATAAGTTAGAAATGAGCAGAATATATGAACTGCATACAATATATGAACTATATTCAGGCTAATAAAAGAGAAAAAATACATCATGAAAATACAGAGATGAGAGTTTAGAGTGTCTTTTAGGTCATAGTAAGGTACGTATATTTTATTTTTGCAAGATTTCAATGTGTAAAAATAGTATAATTGAGAAAAATTAAATAAAGATTTCTTTGGACTAGTTGTGATGGGGAGCAGCAATACAAGGCTCTGTGGTGCAGATGCCACATGGGAAGGTCCCAGTTTGTATCCTGAGGGTCCCCTGTGTACCCCAGATGTGTGCACATGCTCATGATCCTGTCCTGCTGAGGCTGGGTATGGATTGTGATGTGAAGAGCTTCTGACACAGTCTCTCTGTGTCAGAAGAAAAAAAATGACAATTTTGTGGACACAACTATTCATATAGCTATTATGTTAACATTTTGTTCTATAAATCAGTCTGTTGTCTTATTGACACAAGTTATTCCCTCAACTTAATCATGCCTAGGTGATAAATCAAGTTTTCTGGATTTGGAAATGTAAAAGTCAGACCTTGGCTTCTGTTTACTCAAATGGGAATGATTATTCTAGAACTTTCAAACAATAATGGCATGATATTACTTAATAAAGCTTGTGTTATGTTATTACATTTGAAGATGAAAGACCTGACAGAAATACCTGACATAAGAGATGCTAAATCAAGATTAAGAAAAAAAAACTTTTTAAATCTTAACGTGAACCAAATCAATAAGATAAAATTTAATTGTGATAAATATAAGATATTGGGTCATTGAGAAAGTCATGATGCATTTTTGCATAGAAAAAAACAGAAAAATACATCATGACTTTTTTAACAACTCAATACTAATTTAGATTCCAAAGTAAATTATAAAAATTTAAAGTGGTGAAACTTCAGCTGGGAGCCATCTCATCTCTGAAAAAAAAAAATGTATCTAGGAATTTTCTTGATTATTAGATAAAAAGTTACCAAACATGTGATGAAGTATCTTAAGTGTTAACTTGATGTTAGACCACGATAATATCAATCAATCTCAAGGTAGGAAAGATCATAGAAATCATTTAGTTCTTTCATTGATCCATTGAAGGAGGGATTAGGCATGAAAAAAACACATGCTTGTTTCCAACTCCACAATCTCATAACATTGTGACCTGGTACAAGTTTCTTAACTTTTCTATCTCTCTCACTAAAAAAGGGCTTATGTAGCAGTGCTAATCAAGTAGAGTGGAAGGAAGAATTATACAACACAAATCTTAAGTCCCCAACCAAATGTTTGTAAACCTAGCAGAGCTTAATAATCGATGTAATGTGTTATAAAAATGCTCTCTGGGTCTGCTCATGATGTAGTGGGTAAGGCAGCTGGATCCCACATGGTCAACTGTGCGGTTCCCATTCCAGACCCAGTGACTTGAAAAACATTCTAGGTGGTGTGCGTGTGTGCCCAAAGTCCTGAGAGGAGCAAGACATGGAGAAGGAATGGTGGTGTGACCATTCTCCATAGGGAGGGCTTTCTCACTTTTTCCCTCTCACCCTCTTCCTTTTTCTCTCTCACTCTCTTGTAGGTGCATATGCCCTCTAGCAAAATTAAAACAAACAAATAAACAAACAAACAAAATGCTTCCAAGTGGTGATTGACTGTTCTTGAACCCTTCTGAAGATTTTTTTTTAAGGGGGGGGTCCTTTGCCTTAGAGTGCCTTTTCTTTTTTGTCTTGTTTTGTTTGTTTGTTTGTTTGTTTGTTTGTTTGTTTTTATTCCCAGAGGGTGTACATGCTTAAGAGAGGATAGAGAGAGAAAGAGAGCGAGAATCCTCCAGTGGGGCATGGTCATACTGCAATCCATTGTCCTCCATTCTTTTATTCTGCCAGAATTTTTTGTACACACACATGCACCCAGCATGTTTTTTTGAGAAACCAGTGCTAAGATTCAAACCAGAGTAGCCACGTGAGATCTGACTTGCTTTGCACAGGGCTTACCCATTTTGCTAAGGAGCTGGTCCACAGTCCTTTTCCTCATTTTGGAATTCCTTTTATGCTGAAGCAGTGCTGCTTATTGGCAAGTTTTTCTTGACTCCCTATTTCACTTCCCCATGAGAGTACTTCAGGTATATTAATACTGCCATCATTTCTCAGTATAAAAGTTTGTCTAAATTTCTCAGATAATTAGAGGATTGTATTAAAATGCTGCTCCTGTTTCTGTAGGTCTGGGATAGGACTTTAGATTCCTGCATTTCTAACAAATTCCTGGTGATGTGAATGTTGCTGTCTGTGGACCATACTTTGAGAGGCAAGGCTATAGCCTCTACTAGACCCTTCTTTTAGTTCCAAGGTTCTACTCTGAAAGCATTTTATTTTGTCAGCTTCTCTTTAAATGTGTTGTTCATAACAAAAATTCACTATCCCAGGCAGGATTTGGCAGTCTCACATCTCATTAATCCTGGGTTCTGTATTTCTTTAATGCAATCTAAATCACAATATAGATTTGGGGACAACTTAATCAAAGTGAGATATCTTCTGACAAAACTTATTTTCACATGTTAAAACACACTTCTGCTTTCTCTGCTGATATACATAGGTTTATAATTATTATTATTTTAGTTCAGACCCAAGTTAGAGCCTTACATTTATATCTGATAAAATTAATCATTTAATTCTTGATTGTTGCCCTAAGATAATTAAGATTCTTTAAAATTTTGTTTTTCTTATCAATACATCCATTTCCCTCCCAGCCTTGTGTCATCAGTTACTTTGATGCACCTAACTTCCACATCATCTGCTCTAGAAAATATACAGTCTAGGGTATGGCAGTGGTTAGATATCTTTGGTAGGGCCATAAAACATCTTTAATATTTCAACAGACATTCTTCTTCTTCTTCTTTTTTTTTTCCCTATAGGTTGCATGTGCTCACCAGAGAGAGAGAGATAGAAAGCGAGCAATCACCCCCCGGGTAGATTGCCACGCTGTACCTTCTCCTCCATTCTCTTTTTTTTTTTTTGGAGAGATTTTTGCTATAGGGTGCGTGCGCTCGCCAGAGACAGAGAGAGACAGAGAGACAGAAAGCAGGAAATCACCCCCCAGGGGGGATGGCCACACAGCAATCCCTTCTCCTCCATTCTCCTCTCGGGATCTTGGGCACGCACGCACACGCACCCGGCGTGAGTTTAAGCCACCAGGTCCGGGATTCAAACCGCGGTCAACTACGTGGGAGTCCAGCAACATAGTCATTACGCTAACTGCTGGTCCCTCCTCCATTCTCTTGAGATTGTGAGCATGCATGCACATGCTCTTGGCATGAGTTTGAAGTCGCCGAGTCTGGAACTTGAACTGTGGTCAGCCATGAGGGAGACCAGTGACATACAATTATGCTATCTGCTGGTCCCTCAACAGATATTCTTAATCATCATGTTTTGGTAGATCTGATTAGTTACTAAGCTACCTGTTTTCCTTGCATTCTAATTTCTATTATTTTCTTTTCCAGAAGCCTTTGTATTTTACTTTGTTAAGTATAATGTTAAGCCTACTATCTATCTTGGTGTGTTTTAGTTCTCTGAGGTATATTTTAAGGGAAAACTAGAGCACTCAGAGAAGAACCAATATGGTAAGGCATTTAGAAGTTGGTACTGTGAACATAAAGTAATGATACTATTTTTACATATGATTTGGAAATTCTCACTCATTTTATGTTTGATCTGCAAAACAGAAACCAAGAATCTACTGTTATTTGTATGAAGAAATAAAGTTGGTCCCTATTTTTCCAAATAGAACAATAAACATGGGTGATAGAAGTTATTACAGAAAGGATTTGGTATTCGATGTTATAAAGATACTTGCAAAAAATAGGACTATCTATCACATCTGAATAACATTGGCAAAGTCAGTGAGCCACTAGTTTGAGGAATTCATTTCAAAACTAAGCTGCATGAGTTATTTCTACTTGTATTGTATATTAGCTTATTGAGCTCTCCTGTCTTTTGAATATTAGGAACATATTATATTAGGTTGTTAAGGAAAGTCATGATGCATTTTTGCATGGAAAAACATTTTTCTTGCAAAAATGCATCATGACTTTCCTGACAACCCAATATATAGATTCTTTGTGATGTAGACTACACACACACACACACACACACACACACACACACATACACACATTCTGTAGAAAGTTAAGGATCTCTATATGGGGTCAGCATGTAGCCTGGTGGTTAAGGGCACTGAACTCCCACATGTTTGACTGCTGTTCTAGTCCTGGACCTGGCGGCTTATTTTCTCACTTTCTCTGTCTCTCTCTCTCACTCTGTCCCTCTCTGGTCAAATTAAAATAAATAAATAAATAAAGTTAAATTTAAAAAATTATAAAAAAAGATCTCTATAAAGATTATATTCTTTTTTTTTAAGATTATATTCTTAGGTAGATGGAATTTATTATGGCAATAAAAGTCAGAATTTATGCATCAAAAGAAATGTGACAAGATCTAGTTTGTCTCTTTCCTAATACTAAAATTCAATGATTTGCCCAAGGTTGCAGACATTTGACCCTGCTCTTCTGCTGGCTAGGACATATTTTTCCCACTAAATCGTGCTGCCACCTGTTTCATAGAGATATTCAGGAAGCCCTTGTTATTGCCAAAATAATTGGTATAATATAGGAGAAAGGCCATAAAGTAAAACTACTTAGAAGTTAAAATTTTAATTGTAAAATGTAAGAGTGATAAAAATATCTAACTGGTATTATGATAAAAAGTAAAACTAAAAATTATGGGAAAAAAGCAAGTTATTTTAACTGATATTTAATAAAATCTAAATTATACAACAGTACTCACCATGAATAAAGAAATACTAATTGTTAATTTGAAAAAATTGTTGTGCAGTACAATGTGCTGTTTTTCACTTCAGATTGATCCTTGGAGCATTATTATCAAGAGGTACTCTGTGATAAGAAGGTGGTCATGGGTCCGCTAACTCTTAGATACTCAAAGGGGTCTCTTTTGAAGTGTGCCTATCCTTATTACACAGTTTCTCTTATTGGTTGTGACCATGCTTTAATTCCGTCAGATCTTCATAGGTCTGTGCTGTAAATTTGATTTGAGCAGTTCTCTATCATCACAGTATCCAACTTCCTGCATCTGTTGAAGATTGCATTTTTCACTTCATAGTCAATTTTATTAGCTATGATCAGCATGAGTCTGATACAAACATTTGGCAGAAACAGACACTGGTATTAAGTGGAGAATATTGTTCGAGTGGGGATTAATTTGATATGTTATTAGGAAATGTTGTTATGATGACTTCTGCTTCCTTACATAGTTTCTTTATTTAAAACTCTGAGAACTTGATTGACAACTGCTAGAGTAATGATTATGACTCCCTCTATTTTCAACTTTCCAAGTATGCAAATGTAACATTATTTTAGAAAAGAACTTGAAGGCAGTTTTTCTTATTTTACTCTAGTATATCTGGGTCATTGAAGAACATGGTAAAATTAAGTGATTTTTTAAACTTACAATGAATAACTTACTTTTTAAAACAGTGCGCTGCAGTGACCAGCCACGTGTTACTAATCAAGGTGCCCCCACACTGATGGACATTATCACGCTGAAGGGAAGCTTGCCAAGGCCAGGCAGCCTTGGCTGCGATGACTCCAGACATTATTCTGTTGACTATTAGTGGAACAACTCGTTTACCACAACCTGAAAGAGATGAGGTCATTAAGTTATAAGAAATATCTCTCTAATGTTTGATACAGAGAACCTAATAGAGAACTGCGCTGTCCTACTGTTACTTACATTATATAAGCATGTGCTATATCACTATCCATTTCCTTTATTTCCTGATATGTTGATGTTTTGTTCACTCCCCAACTTCATGGACATGGATATATGGTCTTCAAAAAGTTCATGGAAAATATTTATAAAAAGTGAACAGCTTTTGAAATTTTTTTGCAATAAGATAAAATTATACTTTCATTTTTCCATGAAATTTTTAAAAAATTTTCTGAAATTTTTCTTATGTTACCCGCTGAAATTATGTTGAGCTAGGAAAGGTTGACATGCCACAAAGTGTAAAATAACCCCTGAGGACTTTCAATGCTAACTATCTAGATATCCAGGGATATCCTACTAAGATGATTGTTTTAGGTAGTCCAGCAGTGTTACCCTCATCAAAGGCCACACAGGTAGAACCAGTTCCCCTGACCAAACCAGTAATTCCCTATTTGTTAGAATCCCCTTTCTCAGCTAATTTTCTTACCTTTTTTTCTCTTTTGCTAGATGATGCATACACTTGTCAGAGAGAGAAAGAGAAAGAGGGGGAAAGGAGAAATCATCTCCCATGGGGAGTGGTCACACCTTGATCCCTTCTCCATCTCTCAGTCCTTTTGGGATTTTTGGCATGCAGGTGCTTTCTCAGCCACTAGGTCTAAAACTTAAACTACTTGGTCAGCCATATGGGATCTGACTGCCTTAACCAGCAGGCTATGGAGCTAGCCCATCTGTTTTTTTTTGTTGTTGTTGTTCATTTGATTTTTTTAAAAAACATTTATTCCTTTATTTCTTTCATGAATAAGAGAGAGCACACCCCCTACAGAGTTCTGACTCTTAATCTTAGCCAGCCTTAGATCATGGGCATGCATGCCCAGCATACTCAGGGAAGTCTCTAGATGTGAATCTGGGACCCTACCAGGTGGGGTTTACATCTTACTACCATACCACTGTCCAGTCCTCCAGCTATTTTTTTGAGTGGTTCTTAACATTATGTGTGGGTTACTATACCCTGACCAGTCTCTCTCTTTAGGATTATGGGTTCCATATTTCCAAATAAGCACCACGTTCATTTCTCCTGGGAATAAACATGCATTCTGTTAAGAGTTTTTGCTAAGAATTCAGTCTATTTAGAGTATGGTGCTAATAAAGTATGTGAGACCCTATCAAGGGTACTTTCTCTCTTTCGCTCTTGCTTGCTTACACACACACACACACACACACACACACACAATTATTTTTTTAAAAAAAGAAAGAGAAAGTAGAAAAAGAATTATTTTACTGGTATTTATTATACTCCCACTATGGCCAGCCACTTATGAAATCTCCATCAGTCTGCCATTATGCCATTATTCTAATTTAATCTACCGTGGGTTTTTTTTTTTTTAATCATTTGAAGGACTAACAGCTTTCCAATTTATCTCCTTGCTTCTAGTCTTGCCCCTCCAATCTGTTTTTCGCACGGCAACTCAAATGATCTTTCTCTGACATGTGTGAACCCTTTAGTGACTCTTCATTGCCCTCCAAATAAAGTAAAAGTGTTTCAGGGTAGTTCTTGTTTTTATTATTATTAATTATATCCCTTTCCCATGCCTTCTGCTCCCTATTCTGTATATCACAGCCATACTGAGATTTTTTTTTCTTTCACAAGAAGTGGCCATCTTCTATTTTGCCTAAAACCATTTTTCTATATTACTCCCACTGCCCAGGACACTCACTCTATGTGTCACTTGATTCATGACCTCTCCTCTCTTCTGTCTCAGGTCCTACAAGACCAGATGAGCTGACTCTCTGACTGACTCCTGTAGCACTGGGCACTTTCTCTGCCATCGCATATACCACACTATTTTAATATATCTTGATTTATTTATGTCTTCTTCTATCTTCTAACTCTAGCTTTGGGGTAGGGATCATGTCCTATTCACAATGATAATACTAACTTCTGGCACACTTTCTGCCACTTAGTGGATGTTAAAAGATATTTGTTGGATGAATGAATAAATAAACAAACATATTTAGAGTATCTGCAAGACAGAGAAGTGAATTAATGAACACCACTGCACAAATTTGTCACCATTTTTGTAAAAGCTTTCAAAATGCAGGCTATAGTGATATGAAGTGAGTTAGTAAAGCCACTGCCAACTATGAAGTTGAGTATATTAAACATGTTTGGTAAGTCACTCACAGATGATGAAGTTCACCTCCTTCCCATGTATTACTTTCTCATCGTTGTATTTCTCAGCAGAAAGCATGTTTTGTAGCATTTAAAAAATTAGAAAAGCAAACCCACTTATTCCAAACCAGAAATTTAGACTTTCTTCAAATCATCTCAGAATTTTTACTATGTAAAATGTTTTCTTGAACATGACTTAAAAAATCAATCCTAGAATTTTTTTTAAAGAAAGGTATTTATATCTATTGTCCAATTTTTCTCTTTCCCAAAGGAAATGTGCAATGTAGTTGAGAAACTATGAGCTCGTATTTGAAGATGTCCTTTCTGATGTGGAAACTTTACTTATTTACTTGAGCTGACTAGACTTACATGCTTGGATAGTTAGCTTTCCTGTGGATGAGCTCAATGCTGAAAAACAAAATAGAACAAAGAGTGATAATTTTATATTCTCCCTGTTTGTCTCAATGACCAAGAATTATCAGAGGGTACTGATCATACATGGATTCTAAACAGTCAAGTGTATAGATCAGTCAGAAGAATGGCTATCTGATGTAACAACATATGTGTACAATTTTTGTACACTTATAGGTCATCTCCCACTAGATGGATGGTATCTCAAGCAGTGGTGTAAGGCACAAATACAGAGTGGTTAAAACACACGAATAGTTTGTATTAATATAGGACTGTGGTTTTCCAATTATGCAGAGTAAACCCTCTTTGGATTCCAACAGGTGATGGGAGAGTGAGAAAAGGGGGAACAGGGAGATGAGGGTCCAGGCTTCAATCCCAGCCTCTACTGGAACATATTTGCTTTTATCTCTGTGATTTACTGAAGATTTCACATAATGAGGCTGGATAGTGGTACAGCAGTAAAATATGACACTCCTCAAGGCTGACCCAGATGGAAATGTCCTGAGTTTGTGTCTGGAGACCTCTGAGTATGCAGGCCATATGCTTGCCTATGAACTGGGGTCAGCTAAGGCTGGGTGGATTGTGGCAGTGAGACTACACTGGGGGTGCTCTTTCTTTATTTCTTTCTCACTCATGGAAATAAATAAATAAATAACAACAAGAAAAAAAGATTTCACACAAGCTTTTTTTATATGGTCAAATGGTTTAGGATTAAAAAAACCCTGAAAATTCTCACATGTACTATATTTAAAATATTTCCTTTTTAAAAAAGAATTATTTATTTAATTTCATTTATTTATTAATTTATGTTTTCATTTGACCAGAGAGAGAGACAAACACACTCAGAGAGAGAGAGAGAGAAAGAGAAAGAGGGAAAGTGAGAAAACAAGCCAACAAGTCCTGGTCTCGAACTGTGGTCAGCCAAGTGGGAGTGTCTAGCACCATGCCACCTGCTGGTCCCAATATTTCTAAAACACAGTTCCTAAATGATCAAAATGCTTTTTTATAAGAATAAACTATTGTGTATTCTAATCTAACATCTGCTGAATATTGGTAAATACCAATTACTGGACACAATCTAAGATTAAACTCTAAATTTCAAACAAAATCAGGAAGCTTACTAACTAAGGAAACACAAACATTTAAACTCAAATACATGTATCAAACCATCATCTTGTATACCACACATATATATAGTTTTTTTTGTTGTTGGTTATTCCTTAATAAAGCTGGGCAACAAGTAAACTTAAGTTTGAAGGTTTCATGAAAAGTATGATGATTTTCAAGATAAAATGGCTTAGTGAGCAGGTGAATGTAGCTGTTTTATATCAGTGCCTTGTTTCTCAGATTCTTATTCTCAGCATACTATTCCCTATTGTGAAAATAACTTTCTAAAATTCTACGTGGGAAACAAATGATGATGAATTCTATGAAGTCGGACCTTTTGCAAATATCCAATCCAAAGATACCCTTAAAGGGAACCCTAAAATTATTGTATGGCAAAGAATTAATTGTTCAAAACAGATTATCAGGGCTCATACCATGGAAGGGACTCAATTTTATGTTAAATGTAGTTTAAGGTATTCAATTTATTGTTTTATTTTTAAAGCAATTTAATTTGTCCTTAATAATGTGTTAACATAATGTTGGTGTTTTTCACTTAAAATTTTGTCAACTTAGTCTGAACTAGATGCAAGCATCAATTTCCAAGAATAATGCCAGAGTAAGAGAGATAGTTGTAAGTCTAATTGAATTTTTAAGGATTGAATTTTTAGGAACAATGATTATTCCTAAAGATAAACTGCCAATACACAAGTAACTAGCAGTTAAAGATTTCTGATTTTAACCAACTAGTTCTACTTTCCAAGTATAGGAGTAAAAAGAAACATTAACATTTTAGTCTTGAAAATGACCCTCTTCTCTCCCCAAGCATACTTCCAAGTTGGAAGAAATTCAGTTTATGTCCAGGGCTCTACATGTTTCAGGTATTAAGATGAAAAATGGAGCAACTGTCACCAGACATGCAGGCAGTAAGCTGCTTTACCACAGCCTTAGTGTCTGCAATGAAGAAGTTGACCTTAGCTTTGCTTTGATACATTGCATATTGTGGAGGACTAACACCACACTGTTACTGTTCAGACAAAACATAGAAAAGATTTTTTCCTTTTTTCTTTTTTCTTTTTTCTTTTTTAAGGTTTTTGCCATAGGGTTTGTGCACTTGACTGAGAGACAATGAGAGGGAAATAAGATATCACCTCCCAGGGGTAATGGTCTCCTCCATTCTCTTCCTGGGATTTTGGGCATGCACACACACAAACCAAGCAATATCAGATTCTTGACAATTTATAGATAAATTTTGGGCTATAAGGTTATTGCTAAACTAAAACTAGATTAAAAAAATTTTAAGGAAATAATATTAACAAGACAATGATTGCCTAATTTTTAAATATTTATTTCACCTTTTCATTATTTATTTTGTCCCTTTTAAAAAGCTTATTTACTGGAGTCCAGTAAGTGGCATGGTGGTTAAGGAGCTGGACACTCCCACATGGCCAACCATGGTTCGAGTCCCAGACCTGGTGGCTTTCTTTCTCATGTTCTCTCTCTCTCTCTCTCTCTCTGTCTCTCTCTGGTAAAATTAAAATAAATGAATGAATATATAAAATTAAGTGAAAAAAATCATTCTTTAACAAAAAAGCTGATTTACTTATGTCTCCTATATGCAAGCACAAGAAAGAGAGAAAGAGAAAGACAGCACCCTCAGCAGGATCCCAATGCATCTCTCTACTCCCATCCCTCAACCAGCCCAAAACCATGGGCAAGCACATGCCTGGTATACTCATGGAGGTCTCTAGACTCATCCTAGGAGCCTTCCCATGTGAGATAGCCTTGCAAAGCATCATGCTTTCCCATTGTGCCACTCTCCAGCCAGTGTAAGTCCCAAAATTAAATGTTCCTAGAGAGTAATGGTTTTATACCTAAGGACTCTCTACTTTGCTTTCCACTAGATGGGCCTTTCCTAAGTGTTAGTAAACACTGCTTTAAAAAAGTGGAAATTTGGAAGCCTTCAAGGTTTCTAGCTCTTTCTACTATTAGTCAATCACTTACATAAATGCTTTCAGATTTCCAAAATCTATGCACCATTTACTAGGTTTCTAGGTAATAATAATCTCTGTGTGCAACATTTTGTTTTCTATTTTCTTGTATATTCTCATAATATTTCTGTGATTTCAACAAGAACAGTTATTAACACTATAATCTTATAGATAAGAAAAGGGAGACAAAACATGGGTCAACTATTTGGGTGACTCAGTGTGTTAGAATTACTGAAATAACTGTCCAATCAGATTCTCCATCAGCACATCCAGTCTTTTAATCTACTACAATCATTAAAATAAACTGAGGCTCACAAGCTGACCATGTAAGAAACAAAAAGGCAAGGCAGGCAGTAACCATTTCATGCTTCATGTCTAGTTTCAGATAATTCAAGCTTTTAAATTCCTGGCAAATCAACTGGTTAATGGATATTATATAGAACACATCATGTAACTTATCAGAATGGCCACTATTTCACAACCTCAATTCATTTGCTTCCTCATTTAACAAAGAAAGTAGATTAATCACTTGACAGGTTTCTCCCTACCTGTTGGGAGAGGTCCACAGCTTTATCCCCTAAGTAGCTGACTCTTTGTCACATCAGCAAACTCCTTCCCATTCCATTACCTCAGATTTTCATTTCCTGATCAGGTTTTCTCTTGAAGAGTCATCTAGACCTTTACAAGAGCAAAACATCCTATTTCATGTCTGATATAAGTCATTTGCTCTGACTCTTCTGGGACTCTTTTAAATTTGCTATCTTTTACAATTTGTAGAGGAAATCTGTACTTATTTCCTGGAAGTAGATGCTGTGGAAGCAGTGTGGCGCACAAGGGTAATCAGGTTTCTGTCTACCTGGACTCCTCAGAGTCTTCATTGTTTATATCAGGGATGAATTTCCAAAAGATGAACATCATAGATAGGACTTCTTTCTTATTTTTTTCAGAGAGGTTTTTTGCTATAGGGCGCATATGCTTGCAGAAAGACAGAGACAGAGAGACAGAAAGCGAGAAATCACCCACCAGGGGAGATGGCCATGCCACAATCCCATCTCCTCCATTTTCCTCTCAGGATTCTGGGCATGCATTCACACGTGCCCGGCATGAGTTTAAGCCACAAAGTCCGAGACTCAAACTGCAGTCGACTACATGGGAGTCTAGCAACAGCCACTATGCCAACTGCTGGTCCCCATAGATAGGATTTCTAAGACATTTGATCACAGAATACTTTTTTTTATGGTGCCTCTCAAGATATTAGAGATGTTGGGTTGAATTTTAGTTGCTTTTTTTTTTTTCTACAGTGCACATACACTTGCACATGTGAGAGACGAAGAGAGTGCATGTGGGAAAGTGAAAAAGCACTCCCTGTGGGGATCACCATGCCACAGTCCCTTTCCTCCACTCTCCTCTTGGGATTTTGGGCACGCATGCACATGTGCCTGGTGTGTTTCTCAAGTTGCCAGTTCCAAAATTTGAACCACACAGTCAGCTATGTGGGATCCAGCCATCTTAATCACTACACCACCTGGCTGGCCCCAGTCACAACTCCTTTTAATTATTAAGTTCCTTAACTTTTGGGGGGTCTAGCTTTCACATCTATAATGGTGAATTTTCCTACCTCAATGGAATATAGAAGGTAAATTAGGTGTTACTTATGAAGAGCATAGAGATGGGCCTTAGAGAAGTGATAATGGTATAATTCACTAATGATGAATTAAAAAGGAAATAATATATAAATATTCCAGTTATTTTTTTCAAGTTTAGTGATTTCTTTTCTTATAATTCATGATAGAGAGTGTACATGAGAAAGAAAGAGGGAGAGAGAGAAATGAGTCCTTTCCACAGGTTTTGATCATGCTTTAATACTCTTCTTCCAGTTCTACAGCCCTTTGGATCATTAGCACTCATGCACATATCCAGGGTATTTTCAGGTTGACCAGGCCTGGGATCACACCATGTGGAATCCAACTTTTCTTGAGTAATACATTATCACTGCGCCATGAAGCTAGCTTTAAATTAGTGATTGCTGTTTTTATAAGCATTATTTATAAGGTAACTTTAGGGACTCCAGAGCTAGTTTACCATTTTTCCCAAATTCCCATAGGATAAAAGCTAACAAAATTTCATAACACCATATATATAGAAACTATCCATACTTTTCAAATGCAAGCAGATGAGTTTGTATTTTAGGAAGGTCCCTCCCAGAAATACAGCTGTTACCAAACTCTTGGTGTTTTCACTTGCTTAGTCATAAGGCAGGGACTGAATAAGATTAGCACTCTGTTAGTGGTAAATATTTGTCTTTATTTGTGGATAAGTGCCCATCTGTACTACTGGGAAAACTACTTGATAACTGATTTTAGACATGCTTTAATTAGAGCATAATAAACCCTTAAATGTTACTTCTTTAACTTGAAATCTTTTTCTATTTAAATTTTGGCTATTTGGAATAGAAATAATGGCAAATAAGTTAAGATTAGACAAAACATGGACCTAATAGACAGCTTCATATCACATAGGAAGGTACCTCCTTACCATTAACTTGGACTGATGAAGCATTTATAGACAAGGCTCTTGTACTCCTTATTTTCTGATTTAAGATGGTATGGATTTTCTTCTCTCTTGCTGCCCTTTGCCCAGTAGAGGGGAACTGGAACGCCATAATTATATCTGCTCTTACACCATCTTCCTCTGGACTGTAGCACACAAGAAAAAGGTACATATAACTTTTGTTATTGCCCTATACTTTTTCTCCATATCTTTCCCCCCTAACTTAGGCCTCAATTGCTAATAATGTCAATGGTGACTCCTTTCATATTCACACTCTTCTATATGTCACTCTCTGGCCCAAGGTCATATTATATAGTATCTCATCTATATATGCATTATGTATTTTGAGTGCATTATGTTCTGCATTATGCTTTGAATGCACTTTCCCAATTAACTTAAAGGCTTATAATAGCAGTTGGGTAATACAGAAATTCAGGGAAAAAAAATCTTAATTGAAATCACAAGCTCTTCAAGTTGAAAGAAACCTTCACGTCTTCTTTAGCCAATAGATCATAAATCTGGTAACTTAATCACTTCTAGAACATTCATGGCAAGTGGTTCTCTAACCCCAGTGTAGAAATTACAATGATTTACAATGATTTTTAAGAAATTTACTTCCCTAAAAATACTAATTTCTCTTTGGTCAGCTCTGATTTTCAGAAGTTTTCATTTTAAATTGAATTATATCTACCTACATCTTCTATTCCATAAGGCTTATGTCTAGCGGTTGGAACATACATAAAACATCAATTCCCTCTTCCTCATAAAATAATTGAAGGCAGCAATATTGTAATCCAGAGTCGTCTCCAGATTCAACATGCCCAGCTCTTTGAACTTTTTTTCAAATAAACAGTTTCAAGTCCCTTCACCTGTGAACTTTTTACATTCTTAAAATTGGAAAATCAAACAATTAGAGGGTGGTTCTATAGAAATTTAAACCACTATATATTAATTTGCCATGTCTCCTATTTTTACATTACAAAAAAATCCAAGCTCTAAAAAATCACTAAAGGCCTATATTCCTTAATCTTTTGGCTACAGATGAGAAAATCTTATAGGTTCTGAGACGCTTTATCTATTATGGTTCATTTAGTCTATGGAATATGAGAATGTAAGTAATCAGAATCTTATGTTAAATAGGCAAACAGATAATCAATAGTTTTCTCTTTTAAATCAGAGAGATTAACTTTGTTTACCAAAGATAATTTTTTTTGCATCTACACTAAAACTATGTAGATAATTGTTACAAAAACAAAGGAGTTTGTAAGATGATGGTGTTTTTAGAATAGTATGGCAAACAGAATTTGAAAATAGTAAATCTGTCTGAATATATTATATTTCCTTTTTCTTTTTGAGAAGTTTTTGCTATAGGGCACGTGCGCGTGCCAGAAAGACAGAGAGAGACAGAGAGACAGAAAGCGAGAAATCAACCCCCCAGGGGAATGACTATGCCGTAATCCCTTCTCCTCCATTCTCCTCTCGGGATCTTGGGCACGCACACACACGCGCTCAGCGTGAGTTTAAGCCACCAGGTCTAGGACTCAAACCGTGGTCGACTACGTGGGAGTCCAAGTGACATAGCCATTACGCCAACTGCTGGTCCCTTTTTCCTTTTTCTTTAAAAAGATGAGTCATACAGGTTCATGAGTTCGTACTTATGACATACTTGTTCTGCTATGTGATTTTCAAAATGACACAATTGAAATCTCTGAGCAATGTGCAACTGATAGGAGTCTTCCCCTTCTAACACAACATAAAATTTATTACAACAGAACATCTTTTTGTTTGGCATGCTTCCTGTCACTAGGGCTTCATTACAGACAAAATTTATGATCCCATTTGTAGTTAATTTTGCTTTGTTATTTTTGAAATGGCATGTCATTTGAAAGAATACAATTTGGTGCATTTAATGACATGCCCCTGGGTTTTCCTAAGCCAATGGGTTCTAGTAGGTTCTGGGCCTTATAATTAGTTGACAGGGCTTGAGTCCTTGTTCTGTCACTTGAGCCAATTGTCATTTGGGGGAACTTTAATAATATCATTTTCCCTCCCTGAATCTTCTATCTACAAAAGGGTGGCCAACGCTTTATGTTGAAACTGTTTTAGAGATAATGTTTATGAAAAATCCTAGCCAAGAGCCCCACTATTAGAGACAAAATATATGAAGGTCTCGGTATATAAGGGTCTCTGTCTTCTTTATCCTTTTTCCCTCCGTGCTTGTGAGTCCACCTTTACCCAAACATACATACGTCAGTCTCACTACTTGGTTCTTGATATAGTGCTTGTTCAATGCTGAATCTATAAATATTTCATCCACCTGTTATTACAAGAAGGAAACTAATGTTAGTAATTATTTTATAATAAGAATAAATCTTTCATTAAATGTTAAAGCAATAAATTTTTGTCATAGGAGTGATATTATTTAGACCTGTGGTTTCTCAACCTTCACATTGCAACATAATCATTTGCTCAATTAAAAAAAATTACAAATGCTGGGGCCTCCACTTCCAGAATTGTGGTTTTAGTGGGTTTTAAGGGTACCGAGGCACTCATTTTTTAACTGTCTTCAAGTAATTATGTGCTGGTGTAGGTATCTTGAGTAGAAGATTTCTCTCTTAAACTCCATAGAGAAGTAGTGGAAAGATAAAGAACAGAGATGGGTTGTATTGGGAGTCTTGATGAGGTGGTCGAGAGAACCGTAGGTTAGTCCTGTGTTTGAGACTTTTGTTCTCATGAACCAAACAACTTCAGACAAGTTACTGAACAAATGTGATCTTCAGTTTCCTAATCTGTAAAGCAAAAATACTGATCTGCTACTCCCAAAGTTATAAAGATAAAACACATACAATTCTGGGTATGTTTTGGTAGTGAATTGCTGGTGATTCCCCAGCCCACATACTGGTACTATAGGTCTAAGCTTTCTCTGTAGGTCTTTGGTTATAAGGTACAACAAGGAGGCACTAGAGATTTAGGAGAGAGTCAAATATTCTTAAATTATAGTTGCTAAATCAGGGAGGAAGAAAGAGTGGGATGGTGTTGAGAGGATTAGGTTAAAGTTGTATCTCTCAGCTTATATCACCAAAAAAGGAGAAGAAAGGCAATTGGTTTTAGTCCATATGCACAATTTCAACCACCCAACACAACTTAATCATATTGTGAAAAACATAAAAAAATATAAAACAGGAAATGTGTTCCAAGGGATAAGGAACAAGTTATGAACTTCCTTAATACTAGCAGGCATTCATAAATGCTATATTATTTTATTTTATTTTGCCAAAGGATGTGTGCACTCACCAGAGAAAGACTGAAAGAGATGTGGAGAGGAGGAAGCACCCCTTTAAGGAATGGTCACAATGCAATCCATTCTTCATTTTTCCCTCCTTTTGGAATTTTTGGCATGCACGTACATGTGCCCTGTGTGTTTTTTAAGCCATTGGCCTGGGACTCAAACTGCATGGTAACCATGTAGGACCCAGCTACCTTAAAAGCTAGGTAACAGACTAGTCCCGTAAATGGTTTTGTAGGAACCACACATTCATTATCTCCTTAACTCTCACAATAACTTCATGAAACAATAATTATTTTTATTCCTATTTTACTAAAGGAGGAAACTTCTTCAGAGGAATTGCATGACTTTCCCTGGTATCATGCAGATTATAGGTCTTTTATCTGCAGGGTCCATTTCATCCTACTATGTCGCACCAGCCTCCCCGTTAAATATGATATAGATGTTACTTCCGTTTCTTTCATAGAGCACATAGCAATAAGAATACATAGTACATATTAAATAGATTCACCTAAAGATAAAGCATAAAATTAGTAAAGATATATATATATATTTGTTAATAGCTTTAAACTTAAGACATAGGGCAGCATTTAGAAAATAGAGAGATTGCTAGGATTCCAAAATAAGTCGTTATTTGAATTTAAATGAGGGAAGCCTATTAAATAATGGATTAAGGTGATATGAAATTCATATGCTAGAAAAGAAACTATTTTGGTATTAGAGACAAAATATATGAAGGTCTCGGTATATAAGGGTCTCTGTCTTCTTTATCCTTTTTCCCTCCGTGCTTGTGAGTCCACCTTTACCCAAACATACATACGTCAGTCTCACTACTTGGTTCTTGATATAGTGCTTGTTCAATGCTGAATCTATAAATATTTCATCCACCTGTTATTACAAGAAGGAAACTAATGTTAGTAATTATTTTATAATAAGAATAAATCTTTCATTAAATGTTAAAGCAATAAATTTTTGTCATAGGAGTGATATTATTTAGACCTGTGGTTTCTCAACCTTCACATTGCAACATAATCATTTGCTCAATTAAAAAAAATTACAAATGCTGGGGCCTCCACTTCCAGAATTGTGGTTTTAGTGGGTTTTAAGGGTACCGAGGCACTCATTTTTTAACTGTCTTCAAGTAATTATGTGCTGGTGTAGGTATCTTGAGTAGAAGATTTCTCTCTTAAACTCCATAGAGAAGTAGTGGAAAGATAAAGAACAGAGATGGGTTGTATTGGGAGTCTTGATGAGGTGGTCGAGAGAACCGTAGGTTAGTCCTGTGTTTGAGACTTTTGTTCTCATGAACCAAACAACTTCAGACAAGTTACTGAACAAATGTGATCTTCAGTTTCCTAATCTGTAAAGCAAAAATACTGATCTGCTACTCCCAAAGTTATAAAGATAAAACACATACAATTCTGGGTATGTTTTGGTAGTGAATTGCTGGTGATTCCCCAGCCCACATACTGGTACTATAGGTCTAAGCTTTCTCTGTAGGTCTTTGGTTATAAGGTACAACAAGGAGGCACTAGAGATTTAGGAGAGAGTCAAATATTCTTAAATTATAGTTGCTAAATCAGGGAGGAAGAAAGAGTGGGATGGTGTTGAGAGGATTAGGTTAAAGTTGTATCTCTCAGCTTATATCACCAAAAAAGGAGAAGAAAGGCAATTGGTTTTAGTCCATATGCACAATTTCAACCACCCAACACAACTTAATCATATTGTGAAAAACATAAAAAAATATAAAACAGGAAATGTGTTCCAAGGGATAAGGAACAAGTTATGAACTTCCTTAATACTAGCAGGCATTCATAAATGCTATATTATTTTATTTTATTTTGCCAAAGGATGTGTGCACTCACCAGAGAAAGACTGAAAGAGATGTGGAGAGGAGGAAGCACCCCTTTAAGGAATGGTCACAATGCAATCCATTCTTCATTTTTCCCTCCTTTTGGAATTTTTGGCATGCACGTACATGTGCCCTGTGTGTTTTTTAAGCCATTGGCCTGGGACTCAAACTGCATGGTAACCATGTAGGACCCAGCTACCTTAAAAGCTAGGTAACAGACTAGTCCCGTAAATGGTTTTGTAGGAACCACACATTCATTATCTCCTTAACTCTCACAATAACTTCATGAAACAATAATTATTTTTATTCCTATTTTACTAAAGGAGGAAACTTCTTCAGAGGAATTGCATGACTTTCCCTGGTATCATGCAGATTATAGGTCTTTTATCTGCAGGGTCCATTTCATCCTACTATGTCGCACCAGCCTCCCCGTTAAATATGATATAGATGTTACTTCCGTTTCTTTCATAGAGCACATAGCAATAAGAATACATAGTACATATTAAATAGATTCACCTAAAGATAAAGCATAAAATTAGTAAAGATATATATATATATTTGTTAATAGCTTTAAACTTAAGACATAGGGCAGCATTTAGAAAATAGAGAGATTGCTAGGATTCCAAAATAAGTCGTTATTTGAATTTAAATGAGGGAAGCCTATTAAATAATGGATTAAGGTGATATGAAATTCATATGCTAGAAAAGAAACTATTTTGGAAGATGTGATTTTTTCCAAGAGTGACATTGTTACAATCATTCCTCTTCTTGTCACCCATGGCCAGCACTATTATTCAGGATCTGTAGGGTGCAGGTGGGAGAGTCCAAAAGAAAAGGAAAGGTAAACAAAAAGGAACAGAGAAAAGTGATACATCTTAAAGGAAGAAAAGTAAATAGCAGCTGAGTATTTAAAGTTTGTTTTATAATTATCCTTTTAATGAGTTCCACCCACAATTGATTCTTGACTGTAACTTGTTGGTGAAGACATTGGATTAAACTTTTTATTCTTTGGATGACATCATTCATCTGGCAGTGTCTGCCTGGAAGGCTATCTAACCTAGCATCAATTCCATATTGATGAGCTGAAAGAATAAAGTAAGCGAATCTTAGTAGAAGTAACTTCAGTGATCACAATAATAAAAGAGTTTCTTCTTTAAAATTAAAATTCCAAGACCTTGTTTCTAGAAAGGTCAGGTTATGAGGTCCAGGAATCTTAATATAGCTAGTGTGAGGATACTTGGAGAAATGTGGTACAGAGATTGCTAAAAATGGTCTCTCTATTAATGAATTTACAACTAGTGGAAAATCAGAGAAAACATGAACCTAAACTTTACTCCTGAAAGGAGTTTATGCATAAACTAGTTTTCTAGAGAATCTGAAATTATCTGACAGGTTCAGGCTTATGTCGTCAGTATTTCAAAAATCCCCCCACCCCTTTGTTTTTTTAAAGCTGTGTGCAAGCTTGTTATAAATTTATTATTATTTATACCACTTCATAGATTTAGAGATCTATACATCTATCCTATCTCCCACTTAAGGACATTTGTAGAGTTTTGTGGTTGGAGTTAATCTCTTAAAATGGAACAAAAGACCCCTTTCAGGGCAGTACCTTTTTCTGGTTGATGATTTTGAAATGCTGGAAATTTCACTGAGATTAAGTTCTAAGAGGGCAATTGAAGGTTAGTTGGGTGTTTAATGAAAGAGTTAGGGAGAGGCTGTCAACTCAAACAAACAGACACACCCAGTCATTCAACTCTCATTCCTGAACTAACTCTGTTTATACATGCCGCCTGTCTTTTCCTGTCAGATGCTTCCTAACCCACTCCCCTTAGAGCAGCATATGCATTCACATAGGGGATGTTTCAAGGCTGGAACAGCAATCTCAGATAGATGTACCACTAAAGATTGGCAAATAGAAGATAAAAACTGGTTTGTTTTTCTCAACATAGCATCAGATGAGCTCCTAAAACTAATGGAGCCAAAAACTTGGTACCAAGACACTTTAGATCCTCTTGCTTTCTCCTAATTATAAGACAGTTATGTGAAGGTGGGTATAAGAGATGCTTTTTAAAAAAGCCTTGAAGTAAGTAAGGCTTAATTAAAGTTACATTGCTACAAGGGTTGAACTCAAGGTAGAAAGAATGCAATCCTATTTGAACCCCTGTCTGCAGTGTTGTTGGCCTGCAGGCCTAGTCTTCAAAACCAATACCTTCTAACAAAGCCCTCGTTTTCCTGCATACATACCCTTCCCGGGTTATTTCTTTGATCTGTGGTACTCTCCCCATTCCTCTGACTCTGTTCGTCTGAATCATCATAACTCTCCTTCAGAATCGATCTCACATAATACCTTCTTTGTAGTTATTCCTTGATCCTGGGACTAATCTTTCTTACTCCCCTCTTAGTTTTTCTTGTCTTTACACTTTCTTCACTTTCTTTATATAGTTACTTATGCAGCTTATTATCTCTTTTACTAAACTTCAGACCCTTGTTGAATAGAGATGGTGATTTATCTTTACACAGTATAATATCTAGCCTAGAGCTGTGCGTACTGTGGGCACGGGCATGTTTTTGTTGAATGAGAGAATAAAAAAGTGAGAACTTATGTGTCAGAAAGCCTTGCATTTACCAGGACACTTTTATAAGCGCTATTAATGTGGTCTAATAAGATTGAGATCAGTGCTCCTAGAAAAAAAGAAAATTGCACATGAATTACTGGAAGAGAGGTTTTTCTTCTTGTGGACCTTTCCTCACAGTTTTATTTACTGTGAAAAGCTCCTCCATGGTGAGACTAGGACGTTGTAATAGTAGGAATAGTTGTCACTGTTGCCTGCCAACTGTGCATCCAGCAAAGACTGCATGGTCTTTGAGCTCATTTGCTTTTATATCAGCCCTTTGAGGTCAGTACCATTATGATTTGCATTATGTAGATGAGGAAGTGATTTGCACAAGGTGACACAGCAGTGAGCCACAGAGCCAGGATTGCAGCCAGGCTGGGCAGCTTTAGAGCCTGCTAATGCCCTCGAAACGCTGACCTCAGGGTGAGCACCTGGGTAGGTTCTCACTAGCAGCTCCTACCCACTGACAATAAGCAGTGTGTACATGGATCAGAAACTCTTATAACCCTCCCTAAAGGCAGCCTGCTTTCTTTGCCCTCTGAGCTCTGAGCACAAGGACCACAATCTTGGCAGTTTTTATCAACATTCTTTAAAGTGGTTATTGTATCTATTTTTTTTTTTAAGGTTTTTGTCATACGGCATGTGCACTTGTCAAAGACAGAGAGAGACAGTGAGAGGAAAAGTGAGAAATCACCTCCAAGGGTAGATAGCCAAGCCATAATCCTTTCTCCTCCATTTTTTTCTTGGGATTTTGGACATGCACACGCACACATCCAGTGTGATTTTCAAGTTACCGGGTCCAGGACTCAAACCGTTGTTAGCCATGTAGGAGTCCAGTGCCTTAATCACTACACCACATATTGTATCTATTGGGCCATTGGAAAAATCATAATGCATTTTTCTAATGCAAAAATGTATCATGACTTTTCTGATGACCCAGTATTTTAAAACTCTAGATATTTATTTATGTATATTCAAGAAGGCAGGTGTGATCCATTCTCTCAAGCCTGGATGAAGCATTGCCCACCTAGGCAAGGAGGATCACAGAATTTTGAGGCTGGTTGACCCTCTGGGGACCAGGGCTAATTCCTACAACAGTGTCATGTCAACTGTAGAAGGTAGTTGGATCTAGTGTCATGTGAGGTCTGTGAGTGTGTAGGTGGAGCGCTATGGAGGGTGACTTTTTGATTACCCTAAACCAGAAGGTAATGAGATCACCACATGGCACGATAGTGTGTGACAATACCAGTCATTTCTTTGATTGCACTAGTCCTTCAACATTTCTTTGTGGAATACCATAAGGAAACAGACAGATATCTGTGACTGACTAACCATAAATAGCACATAGCAACATATTAAATGACCTTATCCCAAATCAGTTTGTATTCCTGAGATTGAGAGGCAAAGTAAATAGGTAGAAT